TATTCATTTCCTCAATAGACATAGGACTGGGAGAGTGGGGTATATGTCCATTAAGCTTGATATGGAGAAAGCATTTGACAGGGTGGAGTGGAATGCCATTTTGAAAATTATGATTAAGTTTGGGTTTCATGCTGATTTTGTTAAAAGAATTATGGCCTGTGTGACTGGAACTTCCTTTTCTTTCAATCTGAATGGTGAATTGAAGGGTTTTGTGAGAGCTTCTAGAGGGTTAAGACAGGGTGATCCTTTATCCCCTTATATTTTTATCCTTGTCTCTAAAATGTTCACTAGATTAATCAAGGCTGAGGTTGAGAGAGGGAACTTTTCAGGGATTAAACTTTCTAAGGGTGGACCCATGATCTCTCATTTAATGTTTGCTGATGATGCTCTGATTCTTTGTAGGGCTGACAATGCTCATGCTTCTTGTTTACTGTCTATTTTAAGCAAGTACAACAGATTCACAGGTCAGAGAGTTAACTTGAGCAAGTCCTCAGTTTTTTTTAGCAAAAATGTGTCTGCTGCCTTGGCTAGGGAAGTCTGTCAAATCCTTGATGGGATCTCTGTCCAAAGCTCCTCCAGATACCTAGGTCTTCCTCTAGGTATTGGGAGATCAAAGAAAGAATGCTTTGACTATGTGGTGCAGGCTGTGAAAGGGAAAATGATCAACTGGAAGAATAGATTCTTATCTTGGGCAGGCAAAGAAGTTCTTATGAAGTCTGTCATTAATTCTCTTCCTATTTACTGCATGTCCTGTTTCTGTTTGCCCAAAGGTGTTTGCCAGGAGATTTCCAAGACTTGTGCTGATTTCTGGTGGAGCAAGGGTGCAGATCAAAGCAAAGGCATTCATTGGAAACAGTGGCAGAAGATCACCTTGGCCAAAGAGGATGGAGGTCTTGGCTTTCAAGATATAAATTTGTTCAATGAAGCTCTAATTCTCAAACAAATTTGGAGGGTTGCCACTCATCCTAATCTGCTTGTGAGCAAAGTGCTCAAAGGGAGGTATTTTGCTTCCAGTTCTATTATTCAAGCCAAGAAAAGGAGCAATGCATCATGGCTGTGGCTGAATTGGTTGAAAGTCAAAGACAAACACCACAATGGGTTCAGAGTTCTTGTAAGGAATGGATGGAGTACAAGGGTGTGGAGTGATCCTTGGCTAATCAAAGCAGACATTGGTATTCCTGAGAAGTTGGAGAATAGCACTAAAAGTGTAGAATGGGTTGGGGAGCTTCTTACTGATGATAGTTGTGAGTGGAATGAGGAGCTGCTAACTGATTTGTTCAACGAAGATGACCTGAAGCTGATTAGAGAGATTAAGCTGACTCCTGAAGCTAGTGATAAGTGGGTGTGGATGTTTGATGAAAAGGGATTATTCTCAGTTGCTGGTGCTTACAATCATATCTTAAAGCAGAAATTGAGAGACCTTGATGAAGCTGAATCTAGCACAGGAGATTGGGAGAACAAGAAGGTGAGAAGAAGGAGCTGGAAGCTTAAGGTGAAAGGAAAGCTTAGACACTTCTTATGGAAATGTTACAGTGGTGCTCTCCCAGTCAATCTGAAGCTCATTAGTAGAGGCATGATTGTTGATCCTATTTGTCATGGGCGTGGTGAAGAAGAGGAGACTATTGAACATGTTATGTTTAATTGTGCTAGGGCAAAAAAAGTTTGGAAACTGTCCCAAGTAAACTGGTCTGGGTTGGATGAGCACTGCATTAACTTTAAGGAATGGTGGTGGCATGCTTGCAAAGTTGACAGAAGGCCCATTTCTGAGGAAAGACTTCAACTATCCACATATATCTTATGGTGGTTATGGAAGTCGAGGAATCTGTGGAAATTCAAACAAGAATGGATGCCTGAAAAGGAGGTTGTGGCAGCTGCTTGGAGGGAATGGAGAGAGTTTGGGGAAGCTGCAGTTTCTAATTGATCAAGCATAGGAAGGGAATGAGAGGCTAGGTCTCACAGGAGTTCAGTGGTGGCTCATTCTCTCCTTTGACTTTCAGTTCTTAACTCTTCTTCTGGTAGCATTATCATTGTCTACTGTTGTTGATGGACTAAAGGGTTCAAGCTTTTGTCTTGCTTTAGTCGAGTTTGTGAGGTTGTATTTGCTTCATTTAGGCACCTTGCTGTAAGGTGATCCTCTCTTTGTTCTATTATGGGGCTAGTTAGCTCCCCGGATTATGTACTCTTTTCATTTGAATGAATATCTATCGTTTCGTTAAAAAAAAAAAGAACATTCCTCTAATCCAGCGCAGTGCAATGATGTGGCGCAGGGTTGGGATGAGTTTTTGCGCCACTCCAGCGAAAAAAAAGGAGAAATAACGCTGCGTTGGGGAAACTCTTAGTGAATTTTTTCTTTTTATCCTGGACGATGCCAAAGTTTTAAGTTTGTCTTCCATTTATTTAAATTTACAAACCACGTCTTGATCTATAGATTTCCAAACTACTTCCACAAACTAGAGTTTGGTCAGTCAAACTCAATTTTACATGTAAAAACTGATTTTGCGAGGCAATTTTTTATTTTTGAAAGAATAAAAAGGAGAATGTCAACTTTCGAACAGTACCCCGGAAACAAAAAT